GATTTGAATAATTGCGGATCAGAAATGATACGTAATTGAGGAGGCAGAGAGTTCCAGAGTTTGGGAGCAGAGAAAGAAAAAGAGCGTTCACCGGTACGAATATGCTTGACTCGTGGAGTAACAAGTTTGAGGGTTTGAGAAGAACGAGTAAAACGGGAAGAAACCTGTTTGTCTATAAGCGAACAGAGATAAATTGGGGCACGACCATGGAAGTATTTACACAGTAATTATTCAATGGTATTATTTCACTGAGATATGTTCAGAGTATCTGAACATTTTTCCCTCGTGTTAACGAGTTCTTTTATTTGTTCAGCAGTTTTTAAATGTTTTCTCATTTTTGTTAATAATAATAACAATAATAATAATAATAATAATCTCCCTATAATTGAATACGATCCAAAAACAACCATTAGTTATGTGTTGAACTTTCAAATTGGTGCAATTCAGAGCCTTGTTAAAAATGAAAATAATACAACGTACAAGTACAGCCAGCATTAGTCAATACAACCAGCAATGAGGAGTAAGGAACAATGGGTTTACCACAAATAAAAGTGTGTGTGTATAGTTTTTGGCTTAGCCTAATGCACTACTGTATGTATTAAACGGTGTAAATAAATTGCATTATCTGACCAGAAGAATAATGCAGTTTGATGAGGTAACATCAAACATGGAAAGTGCTACAATATAAAATATTATTCATTCAAGCTGTAAAATTTGGTCGCACACTTTCATTAATTTTATCTAACTCAATTGAAAACCAACTGTTATCCTTATGTGCCCAAGATATGATACACAAAACATATAATCCTAATCTACTTACTTTAATAATAACAATATAATTCATAAGAACAACATTAATAATAATAACAATAATAATAACGATAATAATGACGACAACAATAACAATAATTATTATCATTATACATTAATATGATTAATTAAGGCAGCAATTAAAATGCTAAGTAAATTGTTTCAACTGTCATCTAATACTATATGGTAATTCATAAGAACAATACTAATAATAATAATAAAGATTATAGTAATAACATTAATAAGATTAAATAAGCCTACAATTAAGATGATAAATTATATTAACTGTCATATAATTATTAACTTTACTAACCACTCTTTATTTTATAAAATTTGTGTTTATTAGTGGAAAATGAACAAATAATTTAATAAAATGAAGGAAAAAGCAAGAAAGGTATATGCATAATAAAAATGTATAAATACCTTTCACTTCTACTTTTCCACTTTTCTGCCACACGGATACACCGCTTTCTAAGATGTTGCATTTATATACGCCCTCCGTTTTTTTGTTGACGAAGACCCTCAGATAACTTTGCACTTCATTTTCAATTACTTTACCATGAGGATTCTCATAGTTTATTTCCCCTTGGAGCAGATACTCATATTCCTTAAATTTACTCCCAATCGTCAATGGGTCACCATCCTTGAACCATTCCACCTTCAAGGAGAGACCCTCCTGTACTGCTGCATGACAAAACAGGTAAACCACGTCTCCTTCATCTGCAGTAACGTCTTCAGGACCAACTACCTCAGTCAGATTTACTATAAAAACATATGAAATGTCTGTAAAACTCTGTCAACTCTATCAAATGTGTATGATGTGCCCATTATTATATTGAAATGATGATGTCATACTACACCCAAATATGGACATCATTTATTTGTCACATCAAATTCTATAGTGTGGAAAGGTTCTTACTTAAATACTTAAAGCTTTGTCCAGACTTTCACAGTTTTTTGTTTGCCCATATATACAGTAGTCATGATATGGCTATATATATAATCATGTGATGTGACCCTATCTACAGGGTAGGCATGTTTTTGTCAAATAAAAAAATTAATAGTTAATTCAAATTCAAATCAGATTTTCAGTAAAGTGTAGTTTGTACCTCGCATTATGTTCTACCTCCATACCAAAGGGAAAATTTGTATCCACTATTGTAACATCATTTCATCTCGGGAACCAGACTCAATAGGGCGCCCCCTATGTTGTGGTAGTACGGTGTTTTTTGTTTCATTGTGTTCATAAAAAAATGAGGATAGTGGACCTCTTGCCATTCTAGACTCTTTGTCAGTAGTCAGTATGGTACTCCTTCTATGTTACAATAATAGATTTTCCAACTCTCATTTATAGCCCGACATGGATTCCAACACACGGACGTTGTTGCATTTATTGGTCTTTACAATGAGCGATGATTTCCAGTATGTATACAAAGTTACCTGATGTGTATGAGGGATGTAATACACATGGGACTGTGATATTGTAAATAAAATTTAGGAATAACCTATTCTGAAATACCATAAATTGTTTCTATCAAAAAATGATACTTACACATGTGTTGACACTCAGTATCTGAACTAAAGTGGATCAAAAACCAAATTATTTATTTGAAATGTATGCCATATTTAAAATGAGGATATTATACATGTTAATTGTATACAAAACATACTGTATAAATGTATGATATACACATCAGTTACATGCAACATGGATCTTTTGTTAAGCATTTTTGGAAATCTAAATTGGCATAGGCACTGCAATCAGGGCCGTAACCAGCTTTGGTAATGGGGGGGATCTTTTTCCATCTGAGAGGAACTTTTGGTGTCCAGGGGTTGTCTCGAAAAATGTTGAAAACCATGACCGCCACCTTTAATTCAAAATGCTCTTCTGGTGTGTTTGAGCTGCTTTCAAAGGAATTACAATTTCTGTTAATTAAAACTGACTCAGTTTGATATGTGCAAATATTAGAAGAATCGGCAGTAAGTTATAGATACCATGCAATATTGTTAGTAGATCAAATTATAGGAAGTCAACAGGAAGGATCATATCATATACAATCATCTTCCTTTACTGTGCAGAACGTCTTTTGAGTATAGTCACGCATAAAAACTACAGTGCATGTCACAGCCTTATAAGGCCAAGGTACACATTGAAAAGTGTATAAATCGCACTTATAAAGTTGTGTTTTGTGTTGGTCTAAAAGAGCAGGACTCCCTATTCTGTGGGGGGGGGGGGGGAATCGTCCGATTCCTCCAAACCCCCTGGTTACGGGCCTGGCAATGGTCAAACATACTGTATTTAGGTATAATGTAAATATCACTTACGTGCAATGTGGATCTTTTGCTAAGCATTTTTGGAAATCTGAATTGCTATAAGCACCGCAATGGTCAAGCGGAATCCTTTGAATTGCATTTTCAGTTCCAACAAAAATCCATTCATAATTTGGCCAGAGCTCCATTGTCAACACAGGTTCCATTACCTATATGGATAATAACACTTCATATTTCATATGTCCAATTTGCACTCATTTAAAAAGGTCAAAAGATTGGCCAATGAGACAAAATGAGAAACCATTTTACAGATTTACTCAGGGGTTACAAGTTGGCGGGAATCCCTTGGGGAGATCTAAATAAATGAGCTTTCTTTAAAGCATATTTAATTTTATTTTGCTACACATGGTTGATACCCATTGGTACTGACTTCCATGAGACAATTGATGATGAATGCACTATATAATTGCCAACACAATATTAATGAGGAATAATTAACATTTATACCGTGCCTTTTGCCAAGGAATACAAGGCACTGTAGCTGTTATAGGAAGCTTTTGATTTGTGCGACGACGCGACGCTAGAACGGAATCACTCATGCGTGACCGTCCTACCTGGTGTCCTACGTTCTCTGCATACGTAGATTTGGCCAAACTGTGTTTCAGAATCTACTCGACAAAGCGACCTTAACGTTCTCGCATGCGCAGATGACTTTTAGTGATGTCATTACGTTCTACGTCCTACCGTCGTGCAATCAAAAGCTCCCTACTATTGCTCTTGGTCATTGCATCCATATTAGCAAACCAGTACAAAGTGCAACCTCCTCCACTCCCTTAGGGGTATTCCGAGTCGTGCAATTTGATACGGATTAATACATTCAATGCCCCGTCATTTTACAAGGTACCCATACTCCTGGGAGGAGAGGAAAGGTAGGTAAAGTGGCTTGACCAAGGGCACAAAGCGAAATTCACAGCGAAGGTTCAAACATCCGACCTCAAGGATTGATAGATCAAAATGCATCCGCTGCGCCAACCAGCCACGGATCCAGTAGGGAAGCATGGTGGGGCTACTAAATTTTAAAATTTCAATGCATATCAGTGTTTCGTATTGAAACAAGTGCTACATGCTTATCTATTCTAAAAAATGTTGTTACCCCACCCCTTGATTGCCAACCACTCCCAATTGAAGGAACAGACCTATATCATTTTTTAAGTTAAATGAATGAAGAAAATCCTATAAAAATCGTGAAATTAATTACTTACCTGTCCCAATGTAAAATATGTCATATGAACTGAAACTCTTTTCAACAACCAGCTGTGAGAAACGAACATCGTTCAGTATGAGCAAAGGTTCGTCAGATTTCCGATTGAGTGTTGGCGACATATCCTGGTTGTAGTTGGCCAAATTGGGTACCGGAGTATCAACAAGTGAATATGATCTTATAAGATCATAGTTAGATGTCGGTTGTGGAGAACCACACTAGCAAAGAAACATTAAAAAAAAATCATTATATATTGAAAATAAACTAATAAACGCATACAGTAAAGGGCTTTCAGGCTAAACCATATGGCTGCATGACGTTCCTGAATAATTGAGAAGGGAAGTCAGTGAAAGGTACCCCCACATGGCATGTGAACCTAATGGCCCGGTCACACCTTGACGATTAAGCCAGAGTATGCCGACATATCAAAATTACTCTAAAACACTGGCGTACTCTGAACTATCTATCTAACTTTTGCCCTGGTCCGTCAAATTTTCAATGAACAAATTTAGCCCCTATTATGATATAGAACCCTTGGTATAGTTCATAACTTTAGAGTTCTTTACAAACTTCTAGTTTTCAGGTCTTCATCATTAACATAATCATTGTCACACAATTTTTTGAAGCCATGATTAAGAGAGATAATCCCAAAATTTTCATTATTTTATCAACGCTATTTGTCTTTTAATATCATCATGCATTTTAACAAATCTCGCCATCCTTTTACAACCGTCAGCATTGTATGCTGGACTTATGTGTATATTCTTTTGTTTTCACTGAATACTTGGGCTGTACAATGGGAGACAATCTCCTACTCTTTTTTGAAGCGTGAACTGTGTGTTCATTAATGTGCACATGGGCCATTTTGCACACACGACCAACGGCTTAAACGTCTCATCTGGAAGACGGTGCGCTAATGAAACTTGTATTTCAGCCCTCCAGCTGAAACACAAAGAGAGCAGCAATGGAAATTTATACCGGGGACCAAGAGATGATCTCCATGGTTTAGCGCACTAGCTGACTGAGCTAAGCTGCTCTCACGCTTTTGTCTCCTTCCTCGCTGGAATGTTTATATAACTCGAGTATGTGATGCCCATACCATTTCTGTCTCCACATTTAAACTACCCAGCCACATTCAACTTCTCTCCTCTAACACAGTTACTAATTTGTGATCTTGACTAGCCGTAAAGATATAATCTTACTAGCATTAATCTATATTTTGGGATGAATTTTCAAGGGTTCACATTGTACATAAATATTAATGTTGCATCGTTGGTTACTTACGCTTCCAGGTCTTGGGACTATGGGTGGGTCTGAGTTTGGATAAGGAAGCCAGAGAGAATTTGCAGATTTCTGTCCTTTTAAATCAGCATATTCAACCAAATATTCAATTTCTTTCATGCTATAAGCACATAAAGCAGAGCCAGACTGACCATACCTGTAAGATAATCAAATAAAGAATAGTAGGCCTATAGCTATAACAATACACCAATAACAACAGCTAAACCCCAATTATCTATACTAATAGGAAGTAATCGTTAGACTCCTGATCAAACCCAATGACAAACTTGCAGTTTGCTATCAGAAAAAAATTAATGAAGGGGGTCTTATCCACATTAAATGACATTGTACTCAACATGAATTCATTAAAAAGTACATAGAGCTTTTTCTTTATAATGCTGTACATAGTAATTTTGATTGTGATAAACAAGAATAAATGTAGGCCTACAAACAACATGTATGCTATTCCTAGCTGCGTACATGTAGTTCACTCCTAGAAATCTAGAAATTTTAAGAGAGCTGGCCAGGGAGGGACTTTCACCATAGTTGGGGCTTTCACCATAGTTGGGGCTTTCACCATAGTTGGGGCTGACGTAAGAATTCATGAATATGGCAAATCTTGATGGCTGGAGATAGCACTCTCTGACTTCAATTTGAATATACATTTCTTTTCTTTGTTAAAATAATTTTGACAAATTAGGGAGGGGGGGGGGGTGGAGAATCTACCATTGAAAATGTGGACCTTTGGTAATTTGTGGGGAAGGGGGGTGTGCACACCCTTCGCACCCCCTCCTCTAATTTGTATGCATATGGTTCATGATGCAGACCCAGCTAACATGTATTTGCATAAACATTAGTACCATCCTTCTGTAAGATACTATGCCATGGTCTTTCCATTTAAAATTGTTTGTACAGTATATATGACTCCTAAATATGGGTGTCAATTTGTCAATTAAGTGTGCAATAGTGTAACTTGTATTCTGAAGTTACAGTAAGCCTTTTATTGGTGAAATGCATGGTCATTCATTTTTCTGCGTTGAATTTCGTTTGCCATTTGGAGGCCGAAGATAATTTTAGTACAAAGACACTTACTCTTGTGTAGTGAACACACCAAAAACGATGTCCGAGTCTAGTGAAGTCTGATATACATCCTCTGAAAAAAAAAAAGTGTAAAAGAGTGTACATATTGACAGGGACAAAACAAGATTTGACAGCAGAGGTACACCAACTATAAGATGTGCATAATGTAACAACAAGGGAAAGTGGAAAAATGTACTTACTTCTTAGTAAAAATTAAGGCACAGGAAGAAAACTAGTAATATGACAGAGAAAGCTAGCAAATAATATGTAAGAACAGGTAAATTATGACTGAGTTGAAACACTAATGTATGATCATATAATACTCTACAGGCGAGGTAACAAAAAAAGGTAAATAGTTATAAATCTTAATGGGCATAAAAATGAGTCGGATCAGGGCCAGAGTGAATTTTTGATTTAACAAGACAGACTTTGCCATTTCCAATTTACATACAAACAATCATGCACTGTACAGTTTTATGCTCAGTTTCAATACTACTTTTTACTCATGATCGGTGTTTGGCCCTAAAAAACAAGCAGTTTTCCAGCCAAAGACGTTTAGAAGGCCATTACTCTCTAAAGCACCTGTCACACTGTAACGTATAGAACCAACGTATGCCAACGTTTATCAAAATATTGGTTTACGTTCGTGTAAGTTGACATTATAATAATAATAATAAATAATAATGACTTTATTTGAAAACGGAAAACTTGATCACAAATTAAATTGTTTTTTACAAGGCCGTTTCTGAAGTACATAATAACAACATTTAAATTACAAAAACAATTACAAGACAAACAGAAATAAAGAAGTAAAAGAAACCAAAATAGAACAATTACTGTATTATATTATGCAAGTAACTTTCAATTATTTGTTAATAGTTTTTTAAAAGTTTGAACATTTGAGGCCATTCTCATATTGAGGTTTAGGTTATTCCAGACAATGGCTCCCTGATAGGAAAAACTTCTTTTCTTATATTCTGTGCTGGGTTTGGGTACCTTAAGTATGTCCTTAGACCCAGTCATGTATGTTGTATTGTGCTCTTGAAATTTGTTTTTTAAATAAGTTGGCATTTGAGAATTCATTATTTTAAACATGGTTATAGCTTCATCTTGATACAGTTTGGTGTTTAAATTATTCATGTTTAAGTTATTGAGTGTTTCTGAACTTGAATCATATCTTGCGACCTTTGTAATAATTTTAGCAGCCCTATTTTGTAATATTTGAATTTTATTTTGTAAAGTTTGATTGCATCGTCTCCACACAACATTGCAATAATTAAAATGTGGTGCAATTATTGACTTGTACAGCTTTGACTGTATGTTATTTTTTTGCCAAAAAAATTGAGCGTATTTGAGCGTATCAGGACTTAGAAGAAAAAAAATGAGAACGCTCGGCATACATTAGGTGAATGAATGTATTGACATTCATTCGTGACACGTTCGTAATACGTTTGGCATACATTGTATTCGTTAGCTGTTCGTTGGGGTATGCTGGGGTCGATTTTAATTTTTGGACATGTTCAAAATTTTGAACATATGCTACATACGCTATGTATACGGTGAGCATTCGTTGTTTGAACGTTTCGCATGTTGGGTACACGTTGGGTTTACGTTTTCTGTTCGTCCGTTGTTCGTCCAAACACGTTCAATCCCATCTGAAACATTGCCGTAGCAAATGCACAACGTATTCATAGCGTTTGTCTAACTAATGAGTAACGAATGGCCAGCGAACACTCAGCGTATACCGACCTACATCAATGTTTACAAGGCGTCAATACGTTAGGCATACGTGTGACATTCGCTGGGCATTCGTTGTGTACGCTGAACATTCTTTGGGTGAACGCTGCGAACGTGCTGTCATTTGTTAAATGGACGCTAGTAGTACGATGAGCATTCATTTCTCATTCGTTGGGCGTTCGTCTTTCACGCAAAAATGTTATTTTTTTGCCAAAAAAATTGAGCGTATTTAAGCGTATCGGGACTTAGAAAAAATAATGAGAACAATCGGCATACATTAGGTCTATTCGCTACTATGTGACAGGGCTACTATGTGACAGGGTCTTACGACAGAATGAGACACATTAAACCGCGGCAAATTCATGTCATAAAAGTTAACTAAGTAAGAATAATGTTTTGATCAATGAAAGGGAGAGAAAATACTGTTGGCCTATGACAGAGAGGTATAACTAATGAGAGAAGGCGTATAGCAGAATATCTTACGTAGATGATTGTAGTAAAATGGGTATTCTCCGTGCAAAGAGCAGTTGAGCCGTGCTTTGATATATGTGGTCCACATCCCATCCAGGTTACTATGTTTCTCACCACCCGTGTCATTCTATATAGAATTTGAAAAACCCAAAATATTAACTGTGAATTTCAAAAACATGTGTAAGTGTTGAGTTCTCAAATACTAATTAAAGCAAGACTTTTCTTATACCTTGTTTAGCACACTCGTCGCATGCCAATAATGATCATTTCAAATATTTTTGGCCAATTAGCACACCCACTACTACAAAAAAAAATGGTATTTTAAGAAAAAAAAAATTATAGTTTTTATTTATTACTTATTTTTTATTACGTCCGCCGCTGCCTTGATATCTCCGAAAATAAGATATGTACATTTTTCCCTAATTATATGAATTTGAAGCATTTAACCATCTCATTACTACATTGTTTAGATTCACAAATTCAATTTTATTTTTATTTTCTCCTCAATCTGGATATCCTGGAAAAAAATTTATTTTTATTTTTTTTTCTGCCCTCCTCTGATGATCTTCCAAAAAAAAGTTCGCAAACAAGGAATAAAAAAAGTTTCACCTAATGAAGGACGATATGTTACATGTGAATGCCTAATGCATATTGTTCTTTTGTCTGAGATGACATCATTTTCTTGGGCACCAATCTCCCGAAAGTTGTGGCGAGTGCCTTTCAGAAATCATGAAAGCCTCTGAAAACTACCGTAACACATATCACTTGAGAATTTATAATTATTGTATAATCGACTGTGTTCTGGAAGTCTGCTGGTGATGGGTATCAGCATGTGCAGCAAAATACAATTTAGATGCATTAAGAAAGCTCACTCAACGATCTCAAGGAAGTGGCTTCCTCAAACTTAGGACTCGAGCCTGCACTCTGACCTATCAGCAACAAACATGTCATTTCATTCAATTAAGCTGTTTTGCTATCTATGCCATGCTATTGTGTCATATTACAGAAAACTGCATGTACTCCTCTTCTGGTTATGTCAAAGGTCACAGATAATTAGCATACAGTGACAGACTATATACAGTACAATTGTTGTACTGCGTAGTAGTTCCTGATGCAATCAGGAAGGCTCCCCAATTCGACAGACCAATCAGCATCACCGAAAGCTGTCAACATGTGTAGCAATTGTATGGAAACAGAGCTTAAAAATTACTAATCTATAATAATAAAACTCAATGGGTTAATAATGAATTTATTATAAATATCATAATAAAAATTGCACGCATTTAGCATGCCATACAACTTAGCACAAAACAAGATAAAAAAGCAGTTCATACCATACAAACAGCTGCAACTCTAGAGAATACAGTTTTTCCAGCATTATCAAATTCTCTAGCAGGTTCTCGGAAGAAGAAATAAATGCGGCCGTTGTACGTAATCGGACTACCAACAAATTGTGGAGCTGAAAAAAATTACAACGTTTGAACATGGTTCAAATTATGTATGTATTCTTAAATTCGAAGCATTTTGGTGATGAGATCACAGATTGGGAGGGAGAGGGGGTGGTATAAAAGCTGTTTCTGACAGAAGTTTAGTTCTGGACCACTGACTGAGGGAGATGGTTTGGAAGGTGTTTGCATTAATCCTAAAACAGAAAATTTTGTGCCGCATGATTCTCTTGTCCATACTTGTCTGGGGGAGGGGGGTTGGGAAGAAATTGCTCCCCTTCCCTCTTCCTCCCCCAATCTGATGGAGCCACCACTGCAATGAAAGTGTGGTTCATCAAGGCCTTCAGGCTTCCTTTGCCTTTGGTGCCCCTTTACAAATTATTTTGTACTTTATGTTTCTAAATCGAAATTGCTGAAGCTGATAATAATCAACTCTGTTGACTGCTGCTGCATGTAGACCTACCAATTTATTGAATTAAGAAAACTTAAAACTCGTTTAAATGTTGGAAGCAGAAATCTTAAACTCAAAACAAAGACAGGGCAACGCAAAACAAATTTGGCTACCAATTTAAGAAAAGATAACATGGAGCAAGCAAATACATGTTTATTATATCTATTCTTATTTGGCCATATTAATTTAATTGTTTGTCCCAAAGCTCTCCTGATTCCAAAAACCTATTAATGCGGAATGCAGTTTTTTTTTAATTGTAGACCTGGGTTTTAAAAGGTCCGTTACAGGGCTCTGGTGTGTCAACACACAACATGTTGTAGGCTATATATTAAAGGAGGTTACGATTTAAGCGAGACATATATTTTCTTGAAAAAAAAAAATTTGAAAAACAAAGTTTGTACCATTTTGGGCAAGAACAATGTGCATAAATTTACTAATGCGCACAGGAGCTGTGAGATAAACAATTAAATTAATATGGCCTTAAACAATCAACAATAAAAATGTCACATGTTAATGTGACAAGTGGATTGTAATAATCCCATCAGTCTACAATTAATCAATTCTAACTACAGTCCAAATTTCTAATAATATAGCGTTCTCAGCGAATTCTGCAATCAAATTCTGTAACAACGCAGTGTAGGGCACCCTACTGCTATTGCAATTACTTTGAACTGTGACTTCTATCATCTACGTGCAAATTCTGGAACAACCACCATGGTAAAAACTAGGACACCCTCTCTCAATTACAATTACTTTTTATGCTACTTAAAATCGGCGCTTCTATTTTTTTACGCATAGAAACGCGGAGCGCACTATCTTGTAATTATAAGATCTTTGCTACAGTCAAATCAATTTTAAATCATGATTACTGGAATAGTAGCCAACATATTTAAACAATAAAAAACACAATTACCATCCAGCCACTTGTTGTATCCTTTATCGTTTACCATCGCGAAACCATCACTAATATTGAACATGTCACTACTGCGGATAATTCCCTGGATGCCAGCAGAGTTGTATGTTGTACATGTGAACAGCCTATGAACTTTTTTTTCAAAATACAAACACAAATACAAGATAGAAGATAAACTTTGTTGTAAAATGTGTTTTACATTAGAGATATAGTTCCACTCATTAATATAGGATATGCCAGACAAAATAAATTTTTAAAAAAAGAACAGTAATGTACAAAGTAATGACACTAACTGTAAATCCCATTGGCGATAGAAACGCGCCATTCGTTGGCAGCTCGCCACTAAGTGAACACCCATCCAGGGCTCCAGCTGCCGAAGCAGACGACGTGTGAACAGTAAGACAACAGACCGGACCGAAGTTTTTGCAGGGTATATTTGTCATTGGTGAAGTTTACTTTAAGCACCACACAAAAATTGTTATTTTTTTGTGGGGGAGGGGGGCGGGGGCCATGATGTATGTCTTAACTTTAAGTTTGGCTGAATAAAAGCATTCTTAATATAGGAAATGAAAATTTTTTTTAAAGTCTGTGGTTCTTGTAATTTTTTATCTCTTATATTTGTATTTTGTCTGTTGTCCTATTTTGTGTATGGTGATGTATAAAATGATTTAGTGGAATAAATTGTATAAAGAAAAATAAAGAAAAAAATCCATCTACAGGTAGCACTCTTGGGAGGACAGTAATGTTGAAGACATTGATACCTATGCATAGACAATCTCAAATCTTTAAAAAGTACTTAGTAATTTTTTTTTAAATACAGGAGGCCAAGGACGGAAATTTTACTGATGGAGGCCCAGACCACCTCAGTCCCAACATGGTTGGCGATGAGGTCTGCTGTCTCCAGATGCCCTGAAATTGCACTTTTCGACCAAGGATATTTAATACTGTACCACCTTGCTTAGACTTAAATTTGAATATCATTTTCTTTTTCCTATTTTTTAGAATTTTAAAGGTGCTTGGGCACAGCCGGGTCCCTCCTGAATTCGCCTATGGAATATATCCTGTAAGTATACTGTCATTGACAATAGCAAAATAAAAACAAATCCAAAATATTAAATAACTTGGGGTATGGCATACATTAATGATATTCATACTGGCAGAACAAAAATTGAACATCAACGTAGTTAACTTGTTCATAATGTGTAAATTACGTGAATATTATTTTCTTATAGAAGCAGCTGACTATTTAGGTAGCCTGACCATTAATTGTTTCTTTATGTATTAAAGTATATTGTGAAAGTATTTTGATTAAGAAATAAACCAGATTTAAACAATCAAGCATTGAATTTGTGAGCAAGTTTGTGTAACCGCAAATTATATATAGATGTTACAGGAATGTCAGTAAAACCTGTGTTTAATCTTACCGCTGTCTTTTACGGCAAAATATAACGATGACACATTTTGGTTGGGATTGAACGCACTAATCTCTCTCCCGTTCATCAATCCAGCATCGTTATCTTCCCTGGAAACTACACAAGTACCAGTTGGATTTCTGGGATCCCTTGTAAAATTCTTTAAAAAATATTTAAATAATTTCATAAGTAATCATCGTATTGAATTAATTAATTATAAATTGAATATATTTATTTCCTGAACATTTCTACAAAGCAGGTGGGCAAAGACCAGGAAGAAACAACTTGAGTACATGAACCCTTGCAGTAAGAGAAGCATATAGTACCCACCCAAAAACAGTGGGCTGGCTCAGGTATAAATTGTGAATAGAAAATGCCCCCATACTGTTTTCGTAACACTTATCATTATGTAATATTTGATTGAACTTTAACTTTCTGAGTAAGAATCACTACGGTAGAGAACTTTTAAAAATCATGCTCTATCGTAACAAAAATCGTGAATGTGTGAAAGGGGCATTATACACCATTTTATCAGTCTATTTTGAAACAGTGCCACCAACGTCTCGAAACTTTTCACTGGGGGACATCCAGCAGCCTAGCAAAGCAAATTTCGTTTTTCCAGACATTTCTTTTGAGTACTTCGACAACCTAAATCACTGCGTCCCTATTTTCTTTTTTCATTTTATTTGACATTCTGTTTTCAAAGAATAGCCTAAAGGGCTCTACAACAAGTTCGTGCACCAGTTACAGAGCACAGACAAACACTAGTAACTACGTAGAGCGAAATATGTAGGCCTCTGGATGTCCCCAAGTTGTAGTTCTTGGAAATTTTTATTTCAAATTAGTCTATACACAAAATGGCACACTCTTCCCATTTCATTTTCTTCTAGCTAGATTCTCCCCTCACTTAGTCATTGAGCATTCCCATTTCACCTTCATTTCCCTATAGGCCCACTCCAATTTCAATTCTCCTAGATACGCTACTACCTCACAACCACAAGCTCAACAACCATAATGAAAAAAAGTGCGCCAAACTGCTTTATTGAACTGGTATGACTAATTGACTCGATCCACAGATTGACAACCTACCTCACTAACGTAGTAACACAGTGGTCGTAAAGAATTTGTACCGCATACAAAGTATCTACGAGCTGGATTGGTATCTTTACACTCAATGATAGTTCTTATGTAATTCTGACAATAGTAGGCCTGTGGAAGTATACAAACCAATAAAAAGTTGAATTTCCACTCAGGTATTAGCAGATTGGTACAAGGAAATGAATTACAATACAGAAAAGCATATTTTTTTAGCCCTAAGATGTTAAACCTTATTTCAACCCCAACCATGTCACTCCCCACAAAAAAAAAATGATTCAAAATTGCTAGAGGGTTAAACAGTAAAATTAAAGTTATAATAATTAGTAATAATAAAAATAACAACAATAATAATAATAATAATAACAATAATAATAATAATAATAATAATAATAATAATAATAAATAATAATAAATAATTAATAATAATAATATTAATAATAATAATAATAATAATAATAATAATACCGGTAATAATATGCGCTAAGTCAGACTTCTTTTGTGTTATTTTCCCCTTAACGTCATGTTATTTTCCGTTCCCCTTAAGATAGGTTTTAGTAACATAATAACAACAAAAATAATAATAATAATAATAATAATGGTCATTTACATAGCACCTATATAATACTTGTATCATGCACATAGGAACCTCAAATCTGCTCAAAATACATGTTATTCAGAAACAATTTGTATTTTGATTATAAAATAGCAATAAAATTAAATAGCAAAACAATAATACAAAAACTAATTATCAGGAAGTCGCCATTCGTCTCCACTCTGGCGCAAACCCGGACACCTACCTAGGTGACTGGGCAAAGGAAACACTTTGCCCTGCCACAGACGACCGGGCGCTCAGAGACAGACACCGAAACGGCGGCTCTTGGAAGATAATCCGGACCACAAGAAAATAAATATACAGCCAACCATTGAAACAAGATGCGTTTTAAAGGTACGTTTAAATGTATCTATAGATATACAACACTTCAGTCTCAGGCAATTGATTCCAAAACCTAGATTTGACAATTTGAAATGATGTATCACCAATTGGTGAACTGCACAGATGATTATGAGTGTGTTGTATAAAGGTAAAAGAAACATTTAAATCAGACATTTTGTTATGAAGTTACAAAAGTTTCAAGATACAGCTGTTTAAAGAACAGTACTGTATTTGAGAAATCAGCCTTTAAAGTTTATGATTTCGGACATTTCTCAGGCAGAGACCATTACCAAATCTTAAATCTTTACATGAAGGAGTTTAGAGTGCACAACACAGTACCTACCTCTTCGTTAGTCTTTTCCTGTTGGCATGTTATCTCTCCAGATGGACGATCACACGAATTGAAAGTTAGACGATTCTAATAAAAATAATAATAAATAATTATAACAATATAAATAAAGAGAAGAATATGTCAGTTTTATATGCATGTTTTAATTCTTGTGTATCTAGCTATTTTTTATATATTTATCTATTTTTTGCTGTATTATTTTGTATTGACCCTTGGGTCGGCCTGTAATGTGTTTTTTGTAGTTAGATGTTTGAAAGTCTGTGGAAACTTTTATTCTACTACTCGGTTGTTAAACACCAATGTTTGTTGGAGTTCTGAGGTTTGGGTTTAAGAATATTTTAATATTTATTTAAGTGTTATTTAAGTATATTTCAATGTTTATTTAAGTCTAGTTTAAGAAAAAGATACCGAAAAAAGATTGCCAGTAGTAACATAATTTCCATATATCTGATTCAAATTAAATTGTTTGAATTTAAAATCTTTCATAGGGCAAACTGCATACCAAATGCAGATAATTGGAACTTATTTGGCACTACTGTATTACAATTTGTTTTAAATTCCATTAAAATTGCTAAGAAATCATAATTTCTTCACAAACAATAGAAAATCTCTGAAATCCATAATCTCAAGACGTGCTCAACAGTCTTTTGAAAAGGATTGAGGAAGTTGAGAGAGAGAACAGGTAATTGGTCAGTTTATCCAGTAAGTATTTACGAAGTAGATTATACAAATTTCTACAGATAGAGTACTTACAGTCTCTGTAAGATTATCGTCCAACACCAAAAGTGCATTTTTACATCCTGCCAAAATCTTCCCACTTGTTGTGCGGAAAAGTGTTCTGAAGTTCGAACTGCCATCAAATACTTTATCTGTTAAGTAAAGTTTAAGAAGATTAGAGGGCATACTTTCCTTTACATCTACTAAATAGTAACCGACCAAGCTTATTAGAGTATGCAAACAAAAATAAACCTGAAAAACAGAAAAATGCCTGAACTTCCTCCTATGATTGCATACAAGTCCTTTCGTTGAAACCGATGTTGTTAATCCATTCATATTTTGGACAGAATACAGCAGAACTGAATTTACTATAGTCAAAATATCTATTTTATTTTATTCAGTAAAAAAAATCCAATAATAAAATTAATGATTTTGTGCTTAAACTTTAAAGAATCTATAACAGATGGTAACCTCAAAATGAAAATCAAAAAAGTGCATGTTGTTAACACATTCGCTGCCAGAGACGAGTATACTCGCCCCACAGGGTGTTGCTGAAGGCGTTAGGGACGACTGTACTCGTTAAAATTCTAGCGTTCATCATATCTTTGTTATATGTACATTGTTAAACCAGACTTAACGGCCAGTAGTTCGGGGAAGAAACACAGACGATAACGTACAAATAACGTATGTATGTTTGTATTATGTTGCACATACTTGCACGAGTGGGGGGGGGGGCGCCCTCTGAGCACATACCAACCCATGCAAAATGCGAACGAGAAAACTCGAACTTGGCAGAGGCAATAAAAAGTGCTGCCCTCCCCTAATATTTATTATTATTACTTGTTTTGGCGGTTCTAGGCCTGATGGTCGAAATCCAGTTTGCCAAATGCCAGATTGCTGAGACCAATTTACCAATTTGCCGAATCTAAAATTAAAATGACTGTATTCCTTTGAAGTGGTGCTGCTATATATATACATGATGGTCTTTAATAAATTCTGAGTTTACATTCGGGTTTGCCTATTCCGTTACAATTAGTTCAAAATAGTAGTGTGCTGTGCTTTTGCACAATGATCACGACCAAATTTCGGCAAACTGGGTTCGGCAAACCTGGTTTTGGAAAACTGGCCAGGGATTTCATGTTTTCGGTGAACTGGACTCGTCAAACTGGGTTTTGGCAAAGTGGCCATAAACTCGGTAAACGACTTTCACGGACTGGTCGGATACTGTTTGGCACACGGAAAGGAACCTAAAAAAAAGGTCTGGCAGTCAATGTGTTAATAAGTAACCGAAATAAATCTTATCACCAAATTGTAAAAAAGCGTAATTTGCTTGAAATAATATTTAATTAGATTGGAATATGAAGAGTTATTAATGTGAAGTGTATGCACAGTGTTCTGTATGACCTTTAAACAGTCTGAATATTCAATCAATCTGGCATAATATACTGGTAGGCAGTTCCTGGTATTACCATACATCACACAGCTTTGAATACTAATCACAAACACAGCTTTTTTTCACAATGACTTGCTTAATAATAATAGCATTGTAAACTAGTATTTACACATCAGACAATGAGGAAATGAAACTATAAATTATTCAAGGAAACTGTAAATAATTATCATGAGCCTGTGCTCTAGATCATACGGTACTCTGGTTACAGTAGTTAGCATATCTTTTTCCTGTTTCTTATTGATAAAATTTACTGTATTTTTATCTGTTTATCATTTCTTTTTATCATTGAGCTCTGTCAAAAACAAATTTCCATATTGACATTAAATATTTCTGTATTCTGTAAGTAAGTAAAAAGTACTGTATATCTGACACAACTATATAAAGGAAACTAATAAATACAATAAATTTATATTATTTTTAATGAAAATGGGCTTGAAATGTGCATTATGGGAGGGATGACCTCTCACTAAAGTACAGTTAGTATTGAGGCTACAGTAGTGTTATTGATTACATATAAACAAAGAAAGCTTGATACAAATAATCAATTTTTCATACATGACATACTGTAAATAAACAAATCAGATGAAATGCCGTAACTGTAGGTTGATTGATGTTGTACATGGGTAAAATATTGAGTTAAAAAATTAACGAGACAATTGTTGAAATTTTATTTTTATTCCTATAACTATAAAGAAACTTAAAGTACTACATCATACTGTAGGCTTTACAGTAGGCTTAATAGCAAAATAAAAAATAAAAATAATCCTCTCATCCTCATCACTTTTCGAGCCTAGATAGGGTGATAAACTAATAATTCTTTTTTATAGGGCCTTGTAATAGCATTTCAATGCCTCCTAATTATTAAAATTACCTTGTGTCGGTCCAAACTATGGTGAACTTAACACTTGCCATGACGCTTGCCCATGATGCTTGGGAGAACACTGAATAGTATTATAAAATTAATATCAAAGTATAAATTATGTTAGGGTCATTCCGTGTCAAATCAACCAGATTTAAAAAAAGTTCCAGTATGACCCTCTCAGATTTTGATGAAACTCTATAAAAATGATCCACTATGTGAAAAACCAACAATCAAAAAAAATTAGGGTTATAGGTTTTGTAGATTCCGAGATATTGACACCCCAAAAAAGGGGCATGGCTCTTCAAGATCCGCAAATGCAATTTCCTCCAACTTTGGAAGCTTATAACTCAGGATTGGTAATAGCTATCAAGGTCAAACTTGGTATTCTAACTTATATTCCACCATATTACACAAATATGGCATCAGATTAACTGTTATCCCTTCTTTTTTAAGTTAGCTGCACTCAAAATAGCCACTTTGTTTAACGACGCAATTTTTTTGTGATTTTCAAAGTCACCCTGTGTCCATATGAGTGAGTGTATACATCTTAAATTACAGATATATTATCTATGGGTAGTTGTCTCTAGCCACAAGCAAGCACAGGCTAATCAAATGAATTAAAATGGAATGGCATTCATTCAAAGTTGGGACCAGCCCTAAAAAAGTGAAAAAAGCCTATGTTTCCCATTAACGGTTGTTCGTCATGTGGACAGTTAAAATCTTTTCTTAAATTTACACCAGTTAACCAGATATTAGATCTACTTATACACCAAATTTCAGCTTTGGTTCTCAGCTCCTAGATACTATGTTGAAGACTATACATATTGTAAAATAATCGGAAATAGCTAAATTTTTTAAGAGTTGGGTAATTCCATGCCATGGGATCATAGATTTTTAAAATTTTTTATACTGACAGTTATTCATGTGAATTGAAAAACCTGAAATTTTTAGACTCCAATTCCTGTTTGTTTTCCCGTAGCGGCAGTTTGATGTAAATGGGGGCGTGGCACAAATTAGTGCACTGTGAAATTAACTTTGATGTTCGTATGCTAATATCTTTGGAAGTACAGCACCTATAACTTTCAGATTTTGTGGTGTAGGAAATCTTTTACTGTTGATTCCAAATCTGCAATCAGAAAAACAGGAATTGGAGTCTCAAAATTCCAGGTTTTTCAATTCACATGAATATCTGTCAGTGTGCAAAAAATCTAAGACCCATGGCATAGAATAACCCAAGTCTTGGCAACTTTCGTTATTTCCAATTATGTTAACATATGTGTCTGGACCATTGTTCAGGTAGCTGTAACTCAAAAAGTAAATCTTTTTTAATCTCCAAATTTTTAGGAATCCTAACCCACCAGTATTACCAGTATATACACAGTAATAAACTTAACTAAACTTAAAATTTTCCCCAGATACAGCTCTCCAAAAATGGATGCCATTCCATTTTAATTCATTTGATCAGCCTGTGCTTGCTTGTGGCTAGAGACAACTACCCATAGATAATATATCTGTAAGTTAAGATGTATACACTCACTCATACGGACACAGTTGGAGGAAATTGCATTTGCGCATCTTGAAGAGCCACGCCCCTTTTTTGGGGGCGTCAATATCTCTGAAACTACATATCCAGTAGGGTTATAAGCTTCCAAAGTTAATCTTTTGTGTATGTTGATTTTTCACATAGTGGATCATTTTTAAGAAGTTTCATAAAAATCGGAGACGGTCGACCTGGGACCTCTGGTTGATTTGACACGGAATTACCCGTTAGTAATTTACATACCAACTATTGAAGCATCCCGGGTTTTCAGGTTGAACTCTGGTGGACTTATGTAACAATAACATTCGACAATTAACAGACAAAAAATAATGTTCACAATGTTATGCGATATTCCTTGTTGAAACAGCTGCATGACGATCGTGCTTTTGAAATTCTTCAAAACTCTTGATTAGTTTATAAAAAAAAAACAAAGAATGATGATTAGATAAACACATTGTAACCATTGAGTTATATGTATACAAATAATTTAATTCATAATTAAATTAATTACTAATAATCAAGAGATTTCAAAATGTTATTATGTCAATGTTTATCATATTTCATCTGATTAGAGAAACATAAGTTGTTCTAACTTCCTCCCTAATGTCCACAGGGGTCCCAAGTTAGAGTCACTTCTGGAGATGTGGTTGGCTTTACAATTAGTATTGTGAGCTTATATATTATTTTACTTTGCTGTGCATGATGATACCCATCACAAGCTGACTTCTGGGACAGTGCGGCACCAGAAGGGGTTGAGGAAGGTCAATTCTGCACCCTCTGTTTCCCCCCTCCCCCCGCACAGCCCTGGACCCAGTTGTCCAACAACACAACAGGTGATCGGACCAAAGTGATTAATTTGTCTATCCAAATTAACGTAATTTTGATTGTTAATCCCTAATCCCTACTGTAATTGCCTATCACTACTGTAAGCAAAATTTCGGGCCATACCAAGCCATAATGTAAATTTCTCCATAACCCTACCAAGGACTTGTATTCTGGGACCTAAACCCAGGCTCTAGTCGGCCCTTGATTCAGACCCTTGTTGGATGTCTGACCCCAGTAATATCAGCATATGTGGCAAAGACAAGCCAAACCAGTCACTTGTCGCAAATCGTGTTTTAGAGAAAATGGCCAGAACATGCTGGAATGTCAAAGTTTTAAAAACATGTTTTATTGCACTAAACTAACTTTTATATATCTATACATGCTATGCTGTTAATTTCCGCATTTTCAATGTTAAAACAACATTTTTTAAGGATTTAATAATATTTTTCTGCATGAGAAATGCCCAAAATCATAAACTTTGAAGGCTGATTTCCCATATATTGTTCTTCAAACAGCTGCATATTTCAATGCTTGTAAACTTCATAAGGAAATGTCGGATTTGAATGATTTTTTTACCATTTCATACCTCTTATTCTATTCTGTATTAATAACTCAAAATCGATTTTTGCGACGAGTGACTGGTTTGGCTTGTCTTTGCCACATATACTGTATTTCAGGAGACTCAGCTGTCCTGACTGAGAGCAGGGTTGTAGCTGTAGAAAATTAAGGGTGGATACTAAAAAATTGTCAGGGTGGGTGGGTAATAATGTTGGTCAATTCTAAATAAGTGTAGATTTTTAACGATAGTCAAGGAGGTTAACAAAATGTGGGTGGAGGGCCAGGAAATTAGATTTAGACTGGGAGAAAACACTTCAAGGCCATCCACCATAGCTACATCCCTGTGAGAGCATTAAAGATATGTTAATTAATAATATTATTAATATAAATTAGGAAAAGCATGCAAATATAGGCTAATTAATAATAATAAAATAAATAAATAAATTTAAAAAAATAAAAAAATATAATAACAACAACAACACAGTGGCTATGCTTACACCGATGTTTCAAAATATAATCCAACAGCTAAAACCGGGCGTTTACAGTTAACTTAAAGTGCTTGGTTGTAGAGAAAGATTATTATTACTGTTTTATTATTCATATTGTATAGAGTATTTGGAGATTTCTACGATATCTACAATATGGAAAGACAATATCAAATAAATTGAAAGTTAATAAAAATATAATTATTACAATTTACATCATTCAAATTAATTAAAAATGTGTTTATTGAACGTTGTACGAATTTGCTGAAATAAAATTATTGAAAGATACATTTTTGTGGTGTGTATATGGAAACTCGTGTATATACTTCTTGCTTCAAATCAATCAAAAATACAAAACATATAGGCCTACACATAATATACAACAAAACATAAGCATCGATAATATTGTAAGCTCCAATGATATTAAGATAAATATAATAAAATCCACTGGTTTGGCAGTATATTAAAATTATCAACATTCTTCTTCTTCAATGATTATCGACTATATAGCATAATTACTGTAATACAAAATAGGCCTATATAAAATTTGGTTTGATTATTAACATAAAAATGCATAATAATGTAGGTTCTACATTCGTACGGTTTCAAATAGATAAGACGAAATATATGAATCTTAACTAGGCCTGTATAGCAATAGATTAACCACACACACAAATAATAAATTCCATTTCACTTGGTTTGATTATCAAAATATGATTGCATAATAACGAACATTCGTTTGTTTCAAATGATAAAACAAATATATGAATCTGAAACATTAATACTGTATTTTGGAATAAAGTATAATTAATTAATCTTGCATTATGTAGACCTATAATAAGCGTAATTATTATAAGACGATTATACGTTTCATTTTTATATTTAAGCAAATGACTTTGCTATATTGTTAGGCTTAGGCCTACATGTGACATACTAAAATAAATAATTGTTTGTAAATAATATAAATAACGTGATTGTTTAAATTGTTTTATAGTTCAACGTTGTACTGAACTTGCTGAAATAAAATTATTGAATGTTAAATTAAGATAAATTGTTGAGATGTTTCATACTTCCTGCTTCAAATCAATCAATCATTTAAAAACGTATACCTGTAGGCCTAGACATAAGTTTATACAATGAAACATAAAGCATCAATAATTAGCTTCAATAATATTGAGATAAATATTGGTTTAGCAGTATATTAATCAACATGGAAATGCAATATGTAAATTAAGCGTATCAATAATGTTAATATAAACATCAAAAGCATTACTGTATAAAAATCATAAAATCCATTGGTTTGATTATCAACATAATAACGTAATGTTAAATTACAAGTATTAATATTATTAACTTGCAAAAACATTATTAACTTACACAAACCTAATAAAATCCACTGTTTTCCCACAAGAAATCATGGATACATGTGCAATAGATTAATAGGGGGTTACTGTTAACCACATTTGACCACACACACAGCATATACACAGCTTTGTGCCTATTTGGCGTTCCATACAAATATATTACGGCCGAAAAAGTGTACGGACGAACCGGACCAGCAGACNNNNAGACTAGCCCCCCCCCCCCCATACCTAGAATTAGTTGTGGGAAGCTCAGGAATGTACGTGTAGGGCTAGGCCTAGCTACTAATTATTACTACTACTAGTAGTAGTAGTAGTAGGCCTAGTAGTAGTAGTTGTATTATTAGTAATCTAGTAGGCCTAGGCTAGCTAGGCTGGGCATTAGCTCGAGTCTCTACTAATACTACTAGCTTGGCCTAGCTTAGGATTCTCGGCTAGGCACACGAATAACATACTAGATATTGACAGAGAAGCGTCAGGAAATCACAAAATGTCTTACCTATCAATAAATAATTGCCAGGCTTTAGAAAGGAATGTATTGCTAGTTATAACTTTGTTTAAAGGTGACTGTTTCCGTAATAATATGCCTTTTCCTTGAATCGTGTAGACATCTTGAATTGAAATGACAAACAACCCTATATTCAGTGGTGCGTAACCAACAAAAATAAGATATTCTTGTCATCATGTAAATCTAAAAATTAGCTAAATTTCTTGTCCTTATCTAATTAAAAAAACCTATTTTATTTTAATACACTACTTAGAATAGATAGAAGATATATATAGGCTTTTCTTTTCGAAGTGTCTATGCTTACGCCGTGTCGTAAGCATTAATCATAGGCTATGCCACCAAAGAGTAAATAAATAGAACAAGAGAGCAAAGTCCCGTTCGCGATTTTTTTTTCCGTACGAAACATTTGCATGAAACTTCACTCGGGCCATCTCGGATTGACTCGAGTGAGTACGATACGAGGAACAAGAGCAGACACTTCGCAATGTCGTGACGCTCGAGTTTTACTATTATTGCTCTTTCTATGTTTACCTACGGTAGGCCTATGAAATTTCACGGACTTATGTGATATTGTCACTGTGTAACTAACTGTGACCTTCTTGGATGTTATTAAATGTTAGTATATTATCTACAACAGCAACAGCTAGTACCTCCTGTTATACAGTGTAGATAGGTACAGTATACCAAAGGCTAGAGAGAAAGAGGATATAGCCCTAACTACAGGCCGAGGTCTTACCTAAGCCCCTCCTTAAACTAGGCCTAGGGTCACAACAGTCACGCTTCACATACTGACATGGACTGAAATTTTTGGGGGGAAAATGGGACAAAATTGAAGCATGAAATGAAAAATAGAGCGCATAAGAGAAATATTATTAAATAAATAATATACCATTCCGGCGTTATTGAACTTTTCTGATGACCTTTTGACCTCCTGAATTCTGCAATGAGATTTTCGGGTCGATTCAGCCGAGACGGCCCGAGTGGAGTTTCATGTAAATGTTTCGTACGGAAAAAAAATCGCGTCCCGTTCGCGAATTTTTTTTCCGTACGAAACATTTGCATGAAACTTTATTCGGGCCATCTCGGATTGACTCGAGTTCGATACGAGGAACAAGAGCAGACACTTCGCAATGTCGTGACGCTCGAGTTTTACTTTTATTGCTCTTTCTATGTTTACCTACAGTGGGCCTATGAAATCTTACGGATTTATGGGATGTACGTGTGTAACTAACTGTGACCTTCTTGTATGTTATTAAATGTTAGTATAATATCTACAACAACAGCTAGTACCCCTCCTTTATAAAGTGTAGATAGGTACACCAAAGGCTGACAGAAAGAATTAGATAAACTACAGGCCTAAAGCAGGCTGAGTTAAGTCCTACCTACCATAGGCCCTCCCTAAACTAGGCCTAGGTCCCTAGGCTAGGGCCCTAGGCTAGGGTCCAAGGCTGACACCAACAGTCACGCTTCACAGTGACGTTGATTGAAATTTTGAAAAAAAAAAGGGGAAAAATTGAAGCATGAAATAAAAAATAGAGTGCATAAGAGAAATATTATTAAATAATAATAAATAAAATATACCATTCCGGCGTTATTGAACTTGGCCAAACTATCCTTGTAATGTAATTAATGTTAAATAATAATAACAATAATAATAATAATAATAATAATAATATAATCATTTTAGCATTTTTACGTTGGCCTAAGCCTTGTAATCAAGAACCTATTTACTAGGTCTATAATTAATAACTAGCCCAAGGGAATATCTTTTGTGCTATTTCCCCTTAACGTCGGTTTTTTTTTTATGTTCTCTAATTTCTCCATTGTCTAAGTTCCTAAGGTAGGTTTTAATAACATAATAATGAATAATGAATAATAATAATAATAATAATAATAATAATAATAATAATAATAATAATAATAATAATAAATAATAATCATTCGGCATTAATTAACTTGGTCTAGCCTTGTAATCAAGAACCCACAGATACACTATTTAACATATAACTAGGCTTAGGCCTCATTTATACATTCATTGGTGCCGCTCTGCCATTTTGGCATTTCAATTGACATCCAGTATTTTAGAGCTGCCTATTCTCAGCTCTTCTCTTAATTTGAAAATAACTGTCACCCTGTTTCATTTGAAAGAAACGCGTTATTCCTTCCTCTTTGTGCTTTCCCCTGAAAGCGAATATTTTTAGTAGTTAGTAGGCCTAGGTAAATACTGTATGCAAAACCCAGATCTAACTAAAAATAAAATAAATAAAATTGTCACAGTATCTAAGTCAAGTTCAAATAACACTTTCCATTACTCGTGCAGCTTAATCAAATATTTATATGTCATTTTAAACGACCCATTACTATTAGCATGGTAACATCAATGTATTTTTTAAAAATTAGACAGCGACGTTCTCTCAGAAGTTGTTTTGCATTTTGTAGACGTTTATCTGTTGATGACCTTTTGACCTCCTGAATTCTGCAATATGAGATTTTCGGCCCGAGTCGATTCAGTCGAGACGGCCCGAGTGGAGTTTCATGTAAATGTTTCGTACGGAAAAAAAAATTCGCGTTCCGTTCGTAAAAACGTCATGCCTGTGTAGGACGCCCACTAACGGTTGTATATTCTTTTTATTACCATGGTAATAAAACACATACAAGCGTTAGTTGGCGTCCTACACTAGCTGCGTTCAGAGCCGTAGATAGAAAGAGTTGCGACATTTTGTTTCATAGAGAAGCCATTTTGTTTCATACGCGATGCGCGTTCTGTGTCTAATAATAATAATAATAACGTGATGTGCGTTCCCGTGTATAACATTGTATAAATACAGTTAACAGCCTCCTGTATAGTTTAATTCCATTAATCTTTTTAGCAGTCGAATTTCATGTAACTGTATTTATAGATTTTTCTTTTAATGATTTCACTACTTTATATCCAATTTCATATTATAAATACTGTAATAATTTACTATTTTTATGCAGTTCTTTAATCCTCGCCGATAGACCGAGAGAGCCCCCTCGATGGCAAGCATTCTTCAATTAGGCAATTCTACCATATAGACCCTAAATTAGCTCCTGTTATTTTTGCAAAATAAATGATATGTGACGACTAGCAAAAATTTATTAAATATGTATATCAAAATGTAATTAAAATCCGATAGGGTATATATATATAGATTGTTGCTCTTTAAATTTGAATATGAACAAGCCTGTACAAATCTTATGTTATTAATTGGATTATTATTATTTATAAATATAAAATAGTATAAGTCAGGTGCTAGCTCTGGCTATGTGACGAATATCCATTCAGACGCTTCCGTAACAACAATTTTCAAAATCTGTTATGGGCTTACACCATGGCTATTTGTACAGTATGAAGGCCAATAGCTCGCACGGCGATAAATGCTTAATATTTAATAGTTGAAAAAGGGGGAAAAAATAGAATTTAAGCCAAGGCAGGCCTATACTTCCTACCCCACAAAGACGTGAGTTGGTCGAAGATTTCCAATTTAATCGCCTAACTTTTGCTTCCCATATTTTCCTTCTGTTTTCATAGTCGGAAATCGGAAAAGCTTTGTACTATCAGATTGGTTTTTGCAGCCATGGTAGCCATGGCAGTCCATGGTACAGAAAACAATTTCAACAATTTAATAAAAATGCAATTAAGATTATTATAATAC